TGAGTATCAAGTTCCCAAGACCTCCTTGCAGCCACCGTCAGAGCGATGAGGCGCCAGCAAGCCTTCGCGAGCACTTTCCATCGCAAACTCGATTTGCTACCGAATGCTACGGCATCGGTCAAAACATTGGTTCGTGGGAGATGATCTGCAACAGTTCGATCTGGAAGTGCTAACTATGTAGGTGTGTGTAAGTGGCTTGGACTTGGCCATGCCTGCTGTCCAAACGTTCCGAACAAAGGACTGAGCCAACAGGTATCTTCAAGACCATCATGGGATTGCGTTCCGTATCAGCTTTGCTCTCATAATACACGGCAGGATCAATAATAAGGGATCTGAGTTCTGACACTGATAGCGCCCCAGCGCCCCCCCGCGCCCCCTGGCCTTGAAAACTGAATGTGGTACGTATGCGCCTAGTCTACTCTACTCCACTGAGTCCATACATTCCATGGCTGATTCCGAGAGCGGGTACATCCAGCCCTATGCAAAGGACATCAGGAATCGAGATTTCTTTGGGAAGAGGTCTCAAATCCCTACGTTCTCATTTCTTGATTATGCAAAGGCAAAGCTTGGGTTGCGCACAGATATCAATATTATCCGGGATCGTCAAAACCAATGGCCTAGAATCGACTATCTATTTATCAAGGGATACGGTGTCTTTGTCTGCATGCTTTGATCGCTAGAAGTCTCGAAGCAAATATCCTGCTCGCAAGTCAGGTGTTCAATAAATGATTCACCTACCCTACATCCAAGCCATCAGGAATCAAAGAACGTACAACCGAAATTTAGTTGAAATGGAAGCTGTCCCGTCCCGTCCTTTTTCAACCTTCCTTTGTTTCTGTTTCTGAGCAGTCACATTCCGCATAGTTCCCAGGCCGCTATCCCCGGAGTCCAAAGTCCTGCGCAAACCAGCGAACAATCATGAATGAAGCAAAGACCGTGTCCTCTAGTCTACTCCATGATCACAACACGGAAGCAGATCCGGTGCTGTTGGGAATTCGTCCGTTATGTTCGAGAATTCGACCCGCGGACCTCGGAAAAGGTCCATGCGGATCTTGCAGCTTCAACCGCCTCCAAGGAGTGGTTTTCTACGCAAGGGTCACTTCGCCTGTTTCCACTCATAAAGGGCTAGGGATCTTTCTTCCTGGAAATTGGAAGGAAATCCGAAACCTTCATTCTCACTGGTCTTACGTTGTACTTTGACAACCTAGCTACAGTGTCAAGACACAGTCAACTATTGAATAAAGCAGATGAATGGTATCTAGGTTGATATCCCTGTTTGTGTCTGAGGCGAGCTCACGTGTATTTTCTCGTGATCTATCCCTTGAATGCCTGTCATCCCTCAGTCACCATCAACGGCTGATATCCCATGAACAAGAGTCCAAGCACAGATCAGGATCGCCAATGACTGGATTGGAATCCTTGGCTTAATCGAGCACGACTTAAGCTTCATTTGCTTCTCGGCGCAGGGATGGGGATCGCTGTACAAAGTACTGCGCACCCTCATCCGATCCCTTGAATTAAGTGACTAAACCTCAGAGAAGAAGCTTACGACGTCTGCATGCATAGAATGCACTTTAGTACTGGAAGAGAGGCCCATCGCAACCAGCATCAAGTATCTCAACCCACTACTCCCTCTACTCTCCATGTAGACCAGGGTTATCTCCCCTGGCTGTCCAGGTACCTGGGAACACAGGTATGCTGACCGTTTCTCCAGTGGATCAAAAAGAATCCTCGACCGTGTCGATCGTTCGACGCCTCTACATACCGCTCTGCTCGACAGTCTCTGAAGTAAATGAATCGTACTTGTGTCTCTTTTCCCTTCGGTATTGAAACGTACTGTACTTGTTCCTGCCCGATTCTTACTGACAATCATACTTACCCACCGCACTCGATACCTCCATCACTATGTATGTGGTTAGTATCATGCTCTGTGCTACATATTTGGCCTCGCGGCAGTCATAGCCCTACGGCGTAGAGAACACTGTGTCTCAACTAATCCCTGCCCCTAGATACGGGTCATTTGATTCAAGACCCGGTCAGAGGTTCTTTGTGTTGTCTATCATGCGCTTAAACGCCAAACGCCTTTGCAAGCCATGCAATCTGCGGGATGAAGCAGCAAAGAATACATGCAGACTATGAAGAAAAAAGTAAACGCTCAATAGCCTGATAATAGGGAAGCTAATCAGGCACCCGGAGACTATCAGCCGTGGGATTTTTTTCCATACGACGATAGTGGCAGGCTAGTGAACAAATCATTGAGAAGCTACCAGGCCATCTGACTTGGATGTCGTTAGCGGAATGAATGTGATTCGTGTTCCTGGGCAAATCGGTCGCTTCATGTGGTGAAGGATGTGTTTCAGGATTTGTTATGGTTTATGCTTTATGGCTATTTGTGAGTATTGGGTATGTCGACTGGACTTTCCATATGGAGGCAGAGGCATATTACTCGACGTGATGTCGGAGGGTAAATGATAGGTTAACCATTGAGTCAGATACATATCTAGATACTGCCGCTATGTGTCTCAAGGGATTCCTCGCGAGTACAGTACTTCAGAGACCAATTATTTGTACTGGATATCTTCTGTCGTTGATGTTGATGATCCGGTGTACTTTTTTTCCACCTATCAATGTACTCAAGAAAATATATGCCCTTGGTCACTGGCGGGTGTATACATTCAAATACCGCCAAATGTAATGTAATCAGACGGCTTTCTTTCAGATGCCACTTTTGACGCTTCTGGCGCCAGATCTTCCGTTCATGGATATCTATCTACTTCCGGAGTACTTCGTGGGGGAAATAAAAAAAATCAAACGCACCAATGCACAGTACTTCTGCTCTGGGAGAATAGGTCACAGTGCGATTGACAATCCAACCGAGATAAACATTCTTCAAGCCTCTCCAGGGTACAATGGATCTGTATCAACTTCTGTCATCGCCAGTTAGCCGCCACAAGAGCATCATCCGGCATCGTTGCCTGTCGGAATCAGATCCCCTCACCGCAGTCGTGTGATGGGCGTAATCAGCGGCACCACTGCAGCGCTGTACACAAAGTAGCGGTATAGATTCTTCGGATTTTGGATTCCAACCATAATGACATTTGATGAATGCAGTGTCAACGCCACATAGACAACGTATCGTCCCAAGGCTCAGTCCCTTGAATCAGACATTGTGGTCATAATCATAATCATCGTCACAAGCAGAGAGCATACGGTAGATTGTTTAATTGCGTTCCCGCGCGTCGGGATCATGGTACTCAGCCTGCCGCGAACGGATTCAAGCCACGTCAATGAGCCCATGCCCATGTGACAGGGTACGGTGGAAACAACCACCACCACACGTTTGCGGGATGTCACTGCCACTACTTCATTTCTTTTGTTGCTCAGGCAGAGATGAATGATGATGAGAGGAAACGAAAAAATCAGACTGAGATGAAGAAACCATGGGGCCGGTGCTTAGGTGGATGTGATGCATCGTGACACCACGACATGCATTTACCCCAGGTCAGCAAGGGCGGTCTGTTGCCCAGGGGCCATGATGCTATCATCGTGCCTCGTTTTCGACCCAACAAGTACAACTGACAAGGGGATAATACGGTGTCCACCGATTCGAGTCTAGAACGGAAGATTGGCGTCTGGCGATCGGTCGTACACCCGTACAGAACTGTCTATTGTTACTATATTCGGCGCTGGCTGGGATATTGCTTTTTCCTCCATGATACAGGGGTACATGGAACAAGCATAATCAATCCAAGCGCCTGGTCATCTGAACATCTGGAATTTCCTTCGGGTACGATGTCTGGCCATATGGCCCTTTCTTTTGCTATCGTGTCTGATCCTGAATCTTCGCGCCCGAAATGGGCGTCCAATATTGCGAGTTACTTGGATGATGCTGGCAAGTGGTCGCTTCAGAAGGCATCTCTCGTTTCCATGATTCGCTGTCAGTAAATGACATTGACGCCTCCATTATACATCTCGATAACTCCCGAACTGACTCATCAGACTCCTTCGCGCTCTCGATCGGTCTAGAACAGCATCCCTCAGCATGGAGGTTTCTCATCGCTACCTCTAACCATCCTTTGTTTCACAGAGACACCCTCCTGTCCAGATTTGTTGTCATGGTCGGATCTATCATGAATTCATGATTATTTCGCCGCGCCAGGCAGTCGATATTTCCTCTTCAGTCTCTCTGCTGACCGCAACTCCAGCCCATGACACCTCTGCGAGGGGTCTTTGCGCCGTCCTTCGCGCAGGCGGCCCAAGTCAAACGATCCTTCACTTTTGGCTCTTAGATTAGGATTCTAAGGTATTGTAGAGACTGAATCAGGGGCTGTTTACGCCAGATTAACGGTGAAGACGGTTCAGCGCATGAATCATATCTGGTGTAGCGCTGGATAATTCTGACTGGGCGTAGGCTCTATACAGGATACGAGAAAGAGAAGAGATTGCGAATAGAAACTGGTAAATCCGTCTTCGATAGTCTAGCAGGTAAACTGCTTAGAGAATGCCTTTGCATCCTGGCCTGCGGAATATAAACCAAATTCTGGATCGACTGTAGGGTTGTAGATTATATTGAAGTCTTTCTGTCTTCCCCGGACCACCAGCCCTACGTTCCTCCTGGACGCATATGTATGTAGAGATTTCACAGATACTCAAGGCGTTTACTAGATTATAGATGTCACAATACTTAGTGACAACGCCATACTGGCCTTATGAAGAGATTCAGCGCAGCTGTGTTGAACTCCACTTGCAGAAAGCTAGCATCTTGCGCGTGCAACTGGGGCTTCCATATAGACTTTTTTCAAACCCATTCACTGCTCTTGATCAGGTATCCTTATCTGCTCATTCACTGGACTGCGACACCGCACTGATGAACTCTTAAGTTGTTATATGCCCCTGGAGAACATCTCTCTCCAATTCATCTTCCATGCCAAATAGCCAAATCTCACCTTCGTCGTTATACGGACTTCTTATTCTCATTCAAGGCCGTGCAGGTTGTCAAAATGTGTGTCTCGATGGATGAGAAGAGCCCAGCTCCGAAGCGATATGGGACTACGGGACTGGGGAAGTTTCGGTGCGACTCGGACCGTGTCCGCAAAGCCGTAGACACCAGGCTGGCGCCGGTTGAGTGTCTGAAAAGCTCCCCATTCCCCAGTGTGAAGACGGCTGACATCGACGCCGAACTGCAGTGGATGATTGACGGAGAAGAAAGTATTTACCTTAGCCGATGGACCGCGGCCGCTGGCAAACCAAACGAGGCGAGTATAGCGGGTTGTCTGGCTCTCGTTGATGGAGAAATGGGCAACGTCCCTGCGGCCTATTCCAGACTACCGCTTCAAGCAGAAGGCAGTTGAGTTTTCGTTGCCAAGTCCGTGTTCATCAATCTGGTTGCTTTTCGTCGGTGCAGCACTGCCTTCGCACTTCGGCTAAATATTTGGCCCAACAACAACAACCGAGAGGCGTCCTAGATTGAGTGCATCCTCGATGCGAAGAAGTCCATTCTTTGTAACAACCGCAGGTCTGGTTAAGGTCATTCCTACCGGCCCTGCGCTGTTCTCAATGACAAGAAAAGTATGTTTGTATTCCCCCTTCTTCACCGTGGCCAATGATCCAGTTGCCTTCCATGGCAAGCCAACCGCGACCGATATAGGAGTGATCAAGCTCATGGACCATGGAAGGAGGTCGGCTGGGCCCAGATACAACTTGGCGAAGCAAAGGAGAAGCAACTCAATGCTCAAGGCCACTCATATGCCCTCCTGTCCAAAAGTTGCGAACTGGTCGACCCGGATCTGTCCGCGTCATGCGTGAAAAAGCCGAGCCCTTTCCAAAGTTGTGTAGTCGCTCCCACTTACAAAGACAGAGCCCTGCATCTCAATGTGTGCTTGAAAAGAATTTAGTCGAATAGGGGTGCTCGCTGCTCGCTTCGCCTGCCCTCCACTTCTGGTGGTTGGGACCAGCAACTTGACGAGCAAGTCTCATTCCTGTCATGGGTTGATCTTCGCTGATCTGAGACAGTTCCATTATCCGCGGCGATGGGCTCTCATTTCTTGATGGCTACGGCCCAAGCTCTCATACATGCCAGTTGCCGGAAGATCTGATGTCGACGTTGTGCGCGATTCTCCTCGCAAAACGCTCGCTCCCGCGCTCACGAACAAAAGGATTGACAATTTCACCACTATTGTCAATCGCCAGGAGAAGGATCAGCCCCTGAGGCACTGGAGCTGGCCGTCACAGCCACAATTGACGTGACGAGCAAGAATTTCACCTGCGTCTGCCCACGTCGGCCTTGTTGGAAGGTGATGCCCCGACTGGCTGCCATGAGTATACATCAGGGTGCCTGCTCAGTCTGAAGGTCTTTTATACCACTGCAAACGTACAAGCCATGACGACCGATAATGAGCTACGGGCAGTGAAATGTAAGGCAGTACTGGTCGACAGGGGATCTGAAGGAAACCTAGTCGCCAGGTACGTTATCAATGCCCTCAAGGCGAGGATTGTGCCTGTGGATATAAGATGTAAGGTGGCGACTGGACATGCTTTGGCCATGTTTGGTTGTCAAGCCCAGAATATCGCGACCATTACGCAAACAGCGTGAAGAGGTGAAATGGTGGGGTGAGAACTCAGGGGTGATGTCAGGACCCTGCTTATGCTCGCCATGAGGAAGAAGAAAGAAAGTAATCACAAATGACTTGCTTGTGCCGTCGAATGCAACCGCTCCTGTCACCAAATCGTGGGCTGATAGCCTATGGAAGCAGCCAGCACCTTATCCGCCCTTTACTGGGCAGAAGAGGTGGTGGTAATAGCAGGTCTATCCACTCTGATAGCCAGTGGTTGGTTGGAGTTCTATTTGATCGGAGCCACAGGGCTTTGAAAACCATTCAGCATGTTCTAGAGAAAGTAGACTCTATTCTCCATCTATGAACATAAACTGTGACTCCACATTGAGGATCCGTCCTACGTGGTTTTCGCAAACGTACATCCAAATTGTCAGGGAATCGCTCGGTCATCCGCCCCCTCTTGGACCGACCAGAGCCAGAGTCTTCTATGATGGAATCTCGGACGGTTAATCCCCAAACGTCCCAGTGCTCCTCGTTAGCTTGCAGAAAGGCTTTTCTTGAAGAATCGAGAGCACGACGTCGTCCGTGGGCCGAGCCGAGTTGCGCATGTTCTCTCATTGCTGCCCATCAATGCAAGTTCTGTGGCAAGATGTATTTCTTTTGGACATGAACACATCAGAGACAAGCTTTTAGACCATCTCATCCTTCAAGTCGCCGATCACGCTTGCTAATTCTGACATACATCCATCAGGACTAGTGACCATGGAGTATCAGATAGATGTAACGTAAATTGTAGAAGGTTGGCAGGTGTCGGTGGATCTTGGCAGTCCCAGTCCCACACATGATCGGGAGCCCGTGATCCCGAATTCCCGATCTTCCGACGGCCAAGGACGGGCCATTACCAACCTTGTCTTCAGATTTTGACCTCACAGATCTTCCACGTCGAGACATTAAATTCTGTCTGATGTTTGTCTTTCGGTTAAAAATTGCTACATCTTGAATAGTAGACTATTCAAAGATATCCCGGGGCTGCTCCATGGTGGGCTGCGTCAAAGAACTGGGGAGCACCAAGTTATCACATCCCAACCGCCCAACCGCTTCAAACTAAACAGCTGACCAGTTGGTTCGGTGCATTTCCTTTTATATATGACTAAACTTTCACCTAACAGCTGAACTTTTTCAGTTTTTAAGAAGGACCTTTCTGCTTAAAACTCCCCCTATTGAGACCTCGCAGCTTCCTGATCAGGCTTCCGGCAGGTCCGGGTCCATATATCCCGCTCATGACAGCAGAAACACACTGCCTGGTTTAACAAAACCATGCAGAATTTATCAATCGCAGCTGAGAGCGGTCTTTCCCTGGAGCCGCTGGACGGTCGTGCAAGTATCCATCAAGCACCAAGATCTAAGGATCATCATAATGTGAATCGAATACGTAACCCTCTGGTAAGAATCGTCTGGATTTCTCGCTCGGTAAAGAAACGGCATTGATCAAAGTTTGTCTGCTCAGGTCTGCGGAGCTTGCTACACGAGCCAGATAAAGTGTGAGCCTGATGCCTCCAACATGTCTTGTAAGCAATGTACGCGTCGTCGCATTCCTTGCGAACTCGCTTCCAGGAAGGAGAAGCAAGAGCGTAGGAAAAGGTAAGCGTGCAGCAGACCAAAGCATTGGCTTTCAGTCTTCCTCTTTCTATGATAAGTGGTACACGGCTGACCGATCTAGACGCTTGTATGTAAAGGCTCTGAAAGAGCGCTTGGATAGGGTGGAGTCGCTGCTCAAAGCCGCCGGCCTCGTGGACGAGGAGAATCTTACATCTCCGGAAACCAGCAGCGATGATGATGTGTCGCTCGGAGACAACGGAATGGAAGTCGAAAGTGACGATGATCTCTCAAGTTCGCTGCCGCATAACTTGAGTGAGCACAAGGTTCGCACATCCAAGTCGGCCAATCAGCAGTCGAGACTTGAGTCATCTAGCAAACTTTCCGGTACTGGGGATAGCCAGCATGTTTCCATAATTCGATTGGATAACAAGGCTGACTCCTTATACTACGGTATGCCGTTCATCAAGAAACTGAGCCTTTCGCACTTCCTATGATTCTGACCCGTTTCAGGACGTTCTTCCTCATTGTCCATTTTATCCAGAGAAGGGATTGAGTGGATCAAGCACAAGACGGGTGAAGTGAACTTCCTTCGTCTGCTAGTCTCAGACACAAAGCACGATAGTCCATGGGACTATTGGCGGCCCGACGTGTTCCACGATGTCTTTGCCTCGAAGGTCTTCAAACCTCTTCCGCCCCGAGCGGAGGTATTTTCGTTGTTAGGCGATTATTTTCGAACAATTAATCGCCTGTTCCCACTTTACAATGAAGCCTCATTTATGGAAATGGTGGAATGGCAGTATACACAGCAGACGTGCGATGACGCTGCTCGGTGGGCCAGCATCAATGTCATTCTCGCCTTGGCCTATGAATACAGATACACAAAAAGCCTCAAGTCGGAAAAGGACAAAGAAAGAGCATGGCTCTATTATAAGAACGCCATGTCGGTTTTCGCTGAACTGACGCTGCGCCGGACTGATATGCTGAGTGTACAAGCCCTCCTTGGCATGGCGCTTTTCCTTCGCGGTAATTCAGGCACTCAGTCAGCAATGCCTTTAATAACTGCAGCCATCAGGACGTGCCACCGACTGGGTCTCCATCGTGACACTCCGCGGCCTCACCTTGCCCCGGCGGAGCAGGAGCAGAGGAAAAGGGTCTTCTGGATTGCCTTTATTCTAGACCAAAGGTAAGATCAAAGTGATCAGCTTCCTTTTTGTCACGACTGCTCAAATCTGATATACGATGGTAATGCAGTACATGTGTACGAACTGGAAATGCGCCAACTCAACATCCCGATGATTTTGACGTCGAGATCCCTGCTGTTGATCCCGAAAACGATCTCTTGCTAAGCGACAACAAGCCATTTTTCCAGCAACTTTGTCGACTCACCATTATCAAGAGTCAAATATACACGAAGCTCTATTCTGGAAAAGCCTTGCAGAATAAGACCGTAGCTGAAGTCATCAAGATCGTGAAGGAACTTCACGCTGAACTCGGAGAATGGAGGGCGGCGAACACATTTGATGATCAGTTGAAACAGGGAGCGGCAGGCGAAGATTTTCTGCGAGGATTCGCGTCCGCTGGCATGCAGTTCGTCTACTTCAACGCTTTGATCTTGATCCATCGGATGCCTCTAGTCATGGCCTTTATCTACCGACAACGTCTCGCGAATGGAGGTTCTGCATCCGACGATGCCAATTTGATCCTTCGAGAATCGTCCTCATCCATTGCTTTTTGTTCAGAAGCTGCTCGGGATACATTGAGGCTCGTTAATAATCTCCCGTGGGGTGATATAGCATGGATATGGTAAGGCAACGATAGCATCAGGCACATGTTTACCTCCATTTCGATGCTCACTATTCGCACAGGTCCCTTCTATATTACGTGTTTCTGGCCGTTATGACAATATTCGTAAATATTCTGCGAGACTCGCGGTACCCTAACGTCAGGGAGGACATTCAATCGCTTAACATGGCCTCGACGTTCTTCGCCACGCTGATCCCCGGCGACGGACCTTCCAACTACGCCCGGTTCATGACGCAAATGAGCGCAAACTTTGAACGACTAGCCAGATCTGTCGTAGAACGAGATCAAAAGGCAACCAAGCTCAGCCAAAGAGCGATTTGTCGTGCATCAATGACCAGAGCAGAAGGCCACAATCTCGCATCTGAAGAACAACGAAGCCAGCGAAACCAAACGGC